AGGAGGGTAGGGGCAGAAGGTCGATGTGGGGAGAGGAGGAGGGAGATAGGGTGGAGGTGGGGAGAGAAGGGGGAGGGGGAAGGGGAGGAGGGTCAAGGTAAGGATACTTAATGGAAACTAGGACTTTCTAAATACTTCTGTCCAACTACTCTAAAATTTAAGTTTCTTAAGTTTCACCAAAAAAAATAAAAAAAATTGACATTGACAGTCAACAATTTACAAGGTTTGACCCTGAGGAACTTGCACCCATACACAGGGATAATAAGACACTCTGAAAAGTTTTAGGTGTCTTGACACAAGTTTCACCCAATGCCAGAAGTCAAATCTGTGTCTTTTCTGTCTGAACCAATGCTGGTAGTAGACATGTGAAAATCATGGATTCCATTGATATAAAGATACAGTCTAATGAATTATACAACCAGTGGAAATGAGTTCCATATCAGTTCCAATAGTTCAGCAATTGTATCCATTATAATAATCTGATTGATTCCTTGTAAATTCAACAATGACTTTTTACCTACAATTTTAGCCCGACATCATCAGATGATGGGCTATTTAAATCACCTGCATCTGGTCCGTCAGTCCGTCCTTAAACAATTATTGTTAGCACTATTTCTCAGAAAGTACTGGAGGGATCTTTCTCAAATCTGAGATGAAGGTTCCGCATGATCCCTAGTTATGCATTTCTTATTTTGAGACTGATCGCAAAACCAAGATGGCCGACAGCCAGCCATCTAGAATTTGAGAATGAAAATTTGTTAGCCCTATTTCCCAAAATGCTCAAATTTCACACGAAGGTTCCCAACGGTTCCTGGTTCGGCATTTCAATGATTGGGGATGATTGGAAAACCAAGATGGCCGGCATTCAATTTGGGAGTAAAAGTTTTTTAGCCCTATTGCCCAAAAATTATTGGAGGGATCTTTCTCAAATTTCACATGAAGGTTCCCTATGTTCTAAGTTATGCATATCAAATCATATTGGCCAGCCATCTTGTTACAGTTTGAGTTTATTATCGTTTTTCTCAGAATTAACTGGAGGACTTTTTCTCAAATTTGATATTAAGGTTCCCCTTGGTCCTGAGTTGTGCATGTTAACTTTTGAGGTTGATCAAAAGATTGATTAAGATGGCAGACAGGCAAACTGATCAAACAGATAAAAGAAAAGAAGAGAAAAGATCGAACTGACATAGAACTAATGAAGATGGTACTTTGGTGGGCGCCAATTCCAAGATCCCTCTAGGATCATTTGTCTGGTTTGTCATCTAACTTTTGTCTGAACTGTAACCACCAGGTCCAGTGATGACACCAGCTTGCCCAGTCTGAGCCTTTTACTTTTATAAGTGTACATGCGTTCTTCAATACTAAAGCCTTTAAGCAATCATATGACATACTTGCCAACCTGTCCCTAACAATTCTCGATCAGAGGGAAACTCCATGGCAATACCCCTAGACACCTAAGAAGTGGTTCCAATGGCTTTTGTCCGAGAGATTGTTTGCTTATCAAACGCTTTTTAATCTGTGGTTCACCAGGAATTTATAGTATTTGAGGAAAAATAAAGACAACAGATTCTGGCGATTCCTCAAGTCACAGATGATGGTGAAACATTGGGAGTCTTCCTCAAAATAAAAAGGACAAGTATGATATAACTTTTGTGGATAGTGTATTTTAGTAGAACTTTGATTTGCATTAATATTTCATTGTCAGATTCTTTTAGAGATAATGTCCCATGCAGTGTTATAGCGTGTTTTGTATGTTTCAGGTTTCCACGCGATACATACTGTGATCAATGTCCTGGCTATATACATTATACTACAGACGTGTTCCGGCACCAGACTGTCATTGTGGCTGGCCATTATATTCAACAATGTATGTATCGTCAACAACTCATAAATATCCCGCAATGAAAGTAAAATAAACACATCACCTGATGAATATTCAATAATGCACATTAACACGACACCTCATGAATATTCAATAATGCACATTAACACAACACCTGGTGAATGTAAAAAAGTATATGTTAACACAACACCTGGTGAATGTAAAAAAATAGATGTTAACACAATGCCTCATGATTATTCAAAAATATATGTAACATAAACACAACACTTGATGAATATTCAACAATGTACATAAACACAACACTTGATGAATATTCAACAATTTCTGTTCAATATATCACAAACAAAACAACATAAAGTAATATAGATTATGAAAAGTTCTTTTTTTTCACAACCAATAACATTTTCTATGTGACGTTTCGATGACTAGTAGGATATGTACACTGTCACCTTCATCAGACTAATGACCAGTGAAGCGTATGTACACAAAGTTGTAAAATGTGTACGAGTTGTCTATAAAATCGATGTCGATTTCGAAAGTTGTAAAATGTGTACGAGTTGTCTATAAAATCGATGTCGATTTCGGCTACGCTGTCAGCGTATGTACATTAGTTGTTATATATGTACCGAAATGACTCGATTCAGCTACGCTTTGTTTAATACTTGGTCATAGGTGTGTGAGAGTCTTTGAGCCCCCTCATCTCAAATACGTGGAAGAGGGAAATCCTACCTGCAGGTGTAGAATATTGGCTCAGAATCTTACCACTGGTAAATGAATTGAGTCATTTCTGTACATATATATAACAACTATTGTACATACGCTTACTCTTACGTCTCATAATCCATACTTACCAAACCCAAAAAAAAATGCTTAGAAATAAAGCAGTATACATACCAATCACAAACTCACTAAATAAATATTCATTTTAACAAATAAAACATTTTTCATATCAGTACTAAGCACACGTTCTAATGGATATTCCTAAATGTATGTATGTCTGATTTTCTTACACACATTCTAGTTAACATGTTTCATGAAAAAACCCCAAAAAACACGTGAGTATGACATATATGAAGCGTGAAAATCTTGATGTTTAGGGGGATCCCTGTACCACTGCCAAAAACTTTAATTACGTATAGGAAACTATTCAGGTGTGACTATAGCATTGATAACTCATAAACCATACTTAGCAGGACTTTTATGAGAAATAAGAAATATGAAACTAACAAAATGCTGTCAACAACAGTGTAAAAATTGGGTTGGGCTAGACCGAGGTTCAAACCCTGGACTTCAGATTGATATACCATCACTAACCGATTGAGCTACCTGATCAATTGAAGCGTCATGGTCCAACTGTGCTCTATAAAGATATCCAAATGGAAGTTAAGGGGAGGTTGCTGTATATAGGGAAAACCACAGTGCAGTGGGACAGGGATCCTTAAGGAAGTTAAGGGGAGGTTACTGTATATAGAGAAAACCACAGTGCAGTGGGACAGGGATCATTAAGGAAGTTAAGGGGAGGTTACTGTATATAGGAAAAACCACAGTGCAGTGGGACAGGGATCCTTAAGGAAGTTAAGGGGAGGTTACTGTATATAGAGAAAACCACAGTGCAGTGGGACAGGTATCATTAAGGAAGTTAAGGGGAGGTTACTGTATATAGGGAAAACCACAGTACAGTGGGACAGGGATCCTTAAGTACTGTTTTGTTTGAGGTTAATAACTAAGTGATTACTAGGTAATTAGGTACTGTTATGTTTCAGGTATACCTTGTGCTAGGTTATTACATACTAGATAACTACGAGGATATCTGCTGGACCACACCCCACTGTGTCCTGACCCTCAAACTGACCGGCCTGGCCTTTGACCTCTACGATGCGCAGGAAAAAGAGGTAACTGAAAAATTTAGATCAACATTTTTTTTCTGTAAAGTAATTAAAGCTTTATACCTGAATCTCACTGGTATGACTTTAATAATGATGATGAATAATAATTTGAGGTTCTTATATACCGCTTTATCACAACCTAGTTCGTAGGTCGTCTCAAAGCGGTTGCACCAATTATTATCTGTGGTTATATAGGGCCTTTGCAGCCAGCCAATATCTTTCTCAATTCCCTGGGGAGCATACAGCTGGTGCTGCCATTTCGGTACTCACAGCTAGCATTCAACAATTCTAGCACTGCCCAATCACGTACTCATTTACAGCTGAGTAGACTAGAACAAGTGGAGTGAAGTATTATGCTCACAGATACAAGGCGGTGCCGTGACGTGACTCAAACCCGCAAGCCTTCAGTCACGAGCACGACGTCCTTCCACTAGACTACCGTGCCTCCGATGGAAGAGGTTAACATTATACTCCACCTGAAATCATATGTAGGTATGTGGGACAGGGAAGTTCTATCCTCAGGTTTAGAAGTGGGACTTTGTCAAGATTCTGAGCCCCAATACTACACCTGAAGGTAGGATTTCCCTGTCCCACATACCTACATAAGGATTGATTTTCTCCCTCCTGTTAACTGGGAATCTGGTAAAAAAGATAAAGACATCGGGAATGCAACAATGAATATAGTATTGGTAGGTTTTCTAGATACTGTACAGAGCAGGAAAAGGTATGGTTTTACCAAATGTCTTATTTTAGAAGTAAAAGGATTTGGAAAAGCTTCACAGCTAGCATGTTTGTTTTAACGACTGTTTATATCTGTGATGCCAAACGCTGATGTTTTTTAGGAGATATTCTTTTGCTGACCTGTAAAGTTTAAAGTCAATTTAGCGAAATTTCACGCATTGAAATTATGTCACGTTCCAAAATGTTAACCGATATAGTACTGATCTTGTTGAACTCAAGCATTTGGTTTTATGTCAAGATTTAAAAGAAATGATGTAGTTCCCTACTATAAAGCAGATAATATCCTGGAGCAGCTTTGTTTCTTGTAATTTGAACTGATGTACAGTGGCATTGATTTATGAAAAACTCAAACCAGACAAATTAATCGAATGTTGAAAATATCATGAATTTTACAATAACCATTTGAGTTATACTTTTAAAATATCAAGAGTGCTATCATATACCATTAACCAACCTCATCAGGTCGAATTCAGTTCGGTTAATTTTTGAAAAATTATTTTCACTTGGCCGGCCCCCTTTTCTCAGAAATTAAACATTTTCAAATAAGGATTAAAATGCATCTTTATGATGATGGTATATAGTCGACACAAGTCCCGATAGAATATATTGATTTGCCGTGAAGCACATTTTAGATGTTTAAAAGATGTAGTTTAGTATTGGTATAATTACATTCAAAACAGCAAATATAATATTATTTTATTGTTTTTTTGTGATTTGGTAACAAACTAGAGAGAAATGGTGCTACTATAGTTACCAGTCTGATGAGCCAGTGAACCTCAATTGGAAACATTTTTGGAATTTCCATCTGAATTTAAGGTCACTTTGTGGTTTGTCCCCGATTACCCAAACAGTTCCTGGCTGGAACACTTTCGTGTGTAATGGTTCTTGCTGTTATTGATTATAACAATATATGTATTGAGTAGGTTTATCTGAGGACTGTACAAATGAAATGTCAATGTTATGAAGTAACACATCCGACGGGTAGAACATGAAGATAGTTATCACATTTTTATGTTACAAGGAGAAGTTGTCTGCTGATCAGAAAGCCACGATAATAAAAGAGCCTCCGTCACTTCTGGCTATGCTAGGCCACGCCTTCTTCTTCGGGGGATTTTTGGCAGGGCCACAGGTAACTCACACAAACATCTGTTGTTTTATCGCCTGTAAAAGTGGCATATTGGTATTATCTTGTGCTATATTGTCCAAATACCTTTCAAAAAACAATAAATTTATGATGGAATTATGAGGTTACATATAACTTTATAACCTCACTAAAGAAGGATGTTCAACATAATAGGGACGTATTTAACAAGAATGCCACAAAATAATTTTTTGCTAAAAGATTCTGAATGTTTTATGAAAATAATTGAGGAAAGGTAGCACCCCTGTGCCTAGTGCTAGTGAAGTTAATGTTATTGGATTATTTACTGTAGATGCATCTATATTTATGGCAGTGTAGCTTTGGCAGTTTCGATGCAATACATATAGGATCTTACATGAGTTTCCATTTCATATGAGATTCATGAAACGAGTCTAAAAACAAATCAGTTTAGCAAGCCTCTGGCGAGCTAAAATCATTTTTTTTTGACAAGTGTAAGATCCTTTTTATCACATAATCAAGATTTGTGGCATTTGTTCATGTAAAATGACAATTTTCATGCAACCCTGAAGTGTAAAAAGCGCCATTTTGACTCGTCTTAGGTCCTAGTAATTGTCCTAGGCGTGACATCACAATTGAAACATTGAAAATTACAACCAATCACAGGGCTGATAAGTCATATTACACTATGTGATAAAAGCAGTTCTTTTGAATTATACAGACCCTTTTGGCATCTTGTTCCACATATTGGAGAAAGATAGAGCTGTATAGAGTAGTATCTACAGAGTAGTGTCTAGGGTCCAGAACCTTGGATAAATCACCTGTGTGTTTTAACTCTCTGTTTCCTAACAGTTCAGTATGAAGATAGAGCTGTATAGAGTAGTATCTACAGAGTAGTGTCTAGGGTCCAGAACCTTGGATAAATCACCTGTGTGTTTTAACTCTCTGTTTCCTAACAGTTTAGTATGAAGCGTTACCTCTCCTTTACACACGGAACTATTCAAGAAAAAGTCTCGAAGGATCCTCCAGACAGGTACGTAGGCTGAAATCTGGTCTGACACTCACTGTACATGTTTGGTTGGTTTGTGGTTTACATCCTATTAACAGCTATGGTCATGCCGACCATAAAGACGTGCCAGGTTTTGGTGGTGGAGGAAAGCCGGAGTTCCCATAGAAAAACACCCAACTACGGCCAGTACCTGGCGACTGTCCAACGTAGGCTTCGAATACCGCGACCAGTGGTGGAGGGCTAGTGGTAGCAGAATGTCAGACGCCTTAACCACTTGGCCACCGCAGCCACATACTGTACATGTAATGGCTAACAAGACTGAAAGCTTAGACAGAGAGAAAACTCCCTGTTGTCAGGATGTTGTTAATATTCCTGATAATCAAAAATTGAAAATACCATCAGTATTGTACTATGAAGCAATATCATTGAATTTTGATACATTTTAAAATCCGATATCATATGCCTCAGCTGTAAGCTAGCAGATGCCTCAGCTGTAAGCTAACAGGTGGCACATGGTTTCTTTGTATATAACAGATCAAAGGGATCTCAGGTTTTACTTTTACTGTCAGTTCATGTCTGTGAAACTTTATCCAAAATTCTACTAGTTTGGAAAGACCTAGCTGATTTGACTAACTTTTTTTGTTTGTTTGTTTGTTTGTTTGCGTTTTTTCGTCAAAGCCACTCAGTGTTGTTGAATAGCTTATTAATTACTTATTTGCATCTGTGTCTCACCAAAGTTTGATATTGACAGTGTGGTACCTGGACTAAAGAGACTAGGTGTAGGAGTCGTGTATATTGCATCCTATCATATAGGAGGGCTTATCTTCTCTACCGACCACTATAAAGACGACACATTCCAGGTAAGTTCTCAACAACATTGTCACAGGTAGATGCTTTTCAGTTTTTTGTGATATTTTGGTTATTTTTATGCCCCCGCCATAAAATGGGTTGCCCATGTCCGTCCCGCCCTGTTCCGTCCCATCCCATCCATGAGCAGGGGCATTTATATTTATGTCTTACAGATATTTTCTAGTTTATTTCTATTTATCATATTTGGGTAGAAGTAAATTTGTTTTACTTTTTATACTGTGATGAAAATTTTATCATAATTCTTTTGCAGCAAAATTGCGAAAAAAAGTATTTAGGTAGAATTGTTTCATTTGTAAAGGAACCATGGCCTGATATTTCCATTGCATGAATTTAGCTGCATATCTAAAAGGATTAGGGGGGCGTTAAGGGTCATTTCTGGCCTCACCGGGGATTTAGAATTAGTTGTTATATTCGGAATCTGAAATGAAGTATGCAGTAGGAAATTTTAAGGTCATACCACAACTGGTTTAGGAGATACGGCATTACAAAGAGAAACGTTAACCCGCACTTTCATAATAAAATGTGTGAATATTGTATGTTGTGTGCTTTTTAATTGAAAGTTGGCCATTTTGAGGTATTTAACACTTCCACTTTTGAAAGCCTCTGCATGCACCAAATAAATGTTTTATTTGCTTAAACATTGTTATACCAGTGTTCATTCGTAGAAAGGATTTTTTGTTTGTCACGTGCGGAGGCTTTCATTTATGCATGCTAACTGTCCAAAACACTGTAATGATGCTATTTCTGCATAGCAACACAATTTTGTTGCTGTTGTAGGGCATCTACGCATCCGCTTTGGAAAAAATCTGCACCAAGAAAGATAGCCTCAATTAAAAAATATGATGTTTATATAAACAGAAATTGGTAAATAAATTCAAATGATTTTTTTAAACTTTTTACGGGGCCAAAAATAACCCATTATGCCCCAAGTCCTTTTAGTCCCTCATTGATAATACCAGAGGAGACCGTAGGGGAGCAATCTGTCTGTGTGTCACTTTGTCTGGGGCTTATCTCATATACTATGTCACAGGTTTTGTTTGCGAGAACCTCTCGGGATGTTGAAGTGTTTTGTACTGAAGTCAGGTCCTGTGCTCCACTGTGTATGGTGTTATGTCCGGAGCATATCTTTAACTTTTTACCAACAATTTCCATGAACATTCATAGGACTGCTGAGTGTTGCCTACTGAAATTGGGTCTTGCGGTCGCCCGTACTATATGAGTTATGGCCCTTTGTTCATTTTAATATTTAAGCTTGCTCATTATGCCATTGTACGTCTAGTCTGCTGGATAACCGAACTACTCGGTAGTGAAGCGGACGTAAAACCTATCAATCAATCAATCAATCAATCACTCACCATTGTATGTCTGTTTGTTTCTGTTCCAGGATCTCAGCTACATATCTATGTTTTTTTATATAACACTGTGGGGCCGAGTTATCCTCAACAAATACATAGGAAGCTGGCTCATTGCTGTAAGTATACTGGTCAAGTTCTCCGGCCAAATCCTCCACTGGTCCAATGTATGGAAACCTGTGTGTGACTTACTTACTGTGATGTGTAGATATATTGTACCTTTGTTATAACAACAACCTATCGTGCTGTCACAGGTTTGAAGACTTTTGATTGTTATGTTACATGTTACTAGCCAATAGTAAGAACTAAAGCTCTATAACTTAAGAAGGGTTAAAATATTTGTTAGTTAACGGTTCACACACATTTTCGTGCAGGGTTTGCAGTGAAAAAAACCCCAACCCCACAAACTGTATGTTTTCTGCAGTGGGTAAGGTGACTGTACTCAAATAGAATCACCGAATCATCATTATATTCATTCATTGAAAGTTCTGAAGATGAATTATATTCATTTATGGTTGTATCAAAGGAAGAATATCGATGGGTGTTCTTACAAACAAAATTAGCACCCGGGGCTCACGTGAAATATTTTTAGAACGCTCTGAAGTCACCTATCAGCGGTTTTGGTTTTTGCGAATGTCAGGACCCAAATTGGATCAAGGCTTGAGTTTTGCAGTATCTTACACTTTAAATGAATATTAACATTTTATGATGAACTTTGGCATTTCTATAGAAATAAGTATTTCTATAGAGTGAATTTATTCCTATAGTCCAAAACAGAATGCATGGTCGTCACACGCGCCTATTTCTAAAAACGTAAACAAAACACTGACTTTTGAGTTTTCTGGTGCTATTTGAACTTAAAAACTATTCATCTGTAGACAAAAAATGTTGCTATGACTGATCTGTTGACACAATTATTGATCTAAAAGTACTTTTGCTAAAAGTGATCCGATTTAGGTACTGATCCAATTTGGGTCCTGCCTCCTTATATTGTTTTATGTTTTTAGGAGGGAACATGTATACTAGTGGGCGTGTCCTATAATGGAAAAGACATCAACGGGAACATTGAGTGGAATGGCGTGTGCAATGTACAACTTAAGAAGCTGGAGGAAGGCTGTCGACTGCGCGACTACATCCAGTCCTTCAACTACAACACTAATCAGTGGATGGCAAAGTAGGTCATAGGTCATGTACAGGTCAGAGGTCAATTGATAGTGGATGGCAAAGTAGGTCATATGTCATGTACAGGTCAGAGGTCAATTAATAGTGGATGGAAAAATAGGTCATTTGTCATACACAGGTCAAAGGTTACTTGTAGAACAACAGCTATTGGATGTAAAAGTCGTATATATCATAAAGGTCATAGGTCAGTTACATTGCCATCTGTTGGATGTCTGTAGGTTGTAGGTGTATGGAACATATACAATATGTAGCCAGGTCAATCAACCCCAGGAAACATTTAATTGTAGTATTAATATACTAGTTGTTTGTTCCTGTCTTTTCATGTAAGAAGCTACATAAAAAGTAAAATGACTCCACATAGTATCTTATAGATAAGACTATGGATTGCCCTGCATAACTTTGGCTTGTTTATGTAATAAGCTTATACAGTGGGGCCCACTTATTATGATATTGGTTATTGTGATATTTTCCCCATGTACTGATTTTTTCCTTCTTAAACTAAGCAAAAAAAATTGTTCATTATGATATGGTCAAAGGTGGGACCCCGCTTTTTATGATATTTTTTCTGCCGTGAATGGATTTTATAAGGTAAAAACTCATGCAAGTTGTCTGTGTGAAACACCTTGACCATTATTAAACAATAGGTCCGGCTAACTGTACATCGCCCAAGGTGATCACCTGTCCACTCCAGGTAAATTTTTCAAACCTCGCGTCACCCCAGTCTGCGGTCATATCGCGGCACATGCTGCTGAACTCTGACCCGGACTTATTTATACATTCATTTACATAACTTTGATTTTAGTCTTAACAAAACAGGTGATGCAGTTAATTGCTATCTAAAATGCACTATAGGACTGTGTATCAAATTGAAATGATTAGGTCTACCAACATTTTCTAACACAAATTCTGATAAGAAAACGAGCATGCCTTTCATAAATATTCACGGTTGCCTTGACACGTCATGTGAGAAAATCATGCCGATCTCAATGAAAATATTACTTCAGAAGGAAGACGTGCGTTTTTAATCACTGAAGCAATAGTTTCTCTAAAGCATTAGAAGTTGATTTGCCCGTGTCTCAGTTGAAAAAGTGTCAAAATCGGGACATCCTGCCCTGACAACATGGTGCCAGAAATCGATCCAATGTTAACATTATTGGCGTAAACAACTGACAACGGCTGCTTAATTTACAATTTACGTTAAATACGGTATTTAATTATTGTTAAAAAGGGAATATTTTGTGTTTTTAATTGTTATTGTATCTTTGCAAGTTGATTTTAACCCACACGACTTGCGTGGCATGTGATTGTTGCGTGACCGTAAATTGACATAGCGCGGCAAAATAATTTTACGCTTATGGGACAAAATGTAAGGCAACTTCTCGTTGCAATATAGGTAAATAGATAGTTCAAAGGAATATGCTCGAAGCTATTCGAAAGTGAATGAAGAAGTTACCTACTGATCATTACGACGGCAACACAATATCTTCTCGAATTTTTACAACACGCTGATATAACTAACAATTAACAAATTATTTCAATTATTACTTTATCATTTTGTATTTATATTTTTCCATGTTTCGTCATCAATCTATGTCTGATTAATATAGGGCATCTCACTTCCGGTTCAGACAGCATAAAAACGATCAAAAACAGCTTGATAGATTATTATCATATATTGGTTATTATGATATTTTTCGTTGGCAAATAAAATATCATAATAGGCGGGTTCCATTGTATGACTATTGTGTTTCCCCTGACTTTTCCAGATATGTGTTTAAAAGACTTCGGTTCCTCGGCAATAAATTCCTGTCCCAGGCCATCACCCTACTTTACCTGGCGATGTGGCATGGCACCAGATCTGGATACTATATGAACTTTGCTTTAGAGTTTATCATGATGAATTGTGAAAATCAGGTAAAATTTTGGTTTGGTTTGTTTGTGTTTTACGTCCTATTAACAGCTATGGTCATTTAAGGACCTACAGCCAGTCCCTGGCGACTGCCCCACGTAGGCCTCAAACCCGCGACCCAGTGGTAGCAGAATGTCAGACGCCTTAACCATTAATTTTGGTCATTTATGATCATTTGTTCTTTTGTCTTAAGACGATTTCTCTTTGCCTAAATTTTACGCATTTAATAACCCACCATAAATGGAAAGGGGAAATATAGTGTTGTCTAAGTGTGTTAGTCACACAGTGATGTCATCTCTGATGCATTCATTTGAGATTGGAATTTATTGAAACTTGATACAGAGGATTATCCGATAAGCAGTAGCTTGAACAAGTTCACATTACATCAGTTTCACCCAAGGTCTATAGGGCACTATATTACTGTCGTTATTGGGGATTAACTCATTCACCCCTGAAATTTCATAATGAACTATCCAACCTTTGAACTGGAAGAGTTCAAATGTGTCTTCAGGGGGGTATGAGTTAAACCAGATATTGCGATTCTAATGAATACTTTAACACGTCTGTTGATATTTTCAGGTGATAGCGTTGACCCCGAGGATTCCAGTGCTGAACAAGTTGAACAACTTACCCATACTACAGCCAGTACTATATATCCTCAAGAAGTTGGTCACCACATTCTGTATGGGATATGCCCTGCTCGGTTTTGTGCTTTTAAATTTTAATGACTATATGAAAGTAAGTAGCTTTAATCAATTTGTATGAAAATTGAAGCGAGTGTTGTAGAAAACGGCAAAATTTGAGTTTCAGAATCTATTGAATTCTAATGATTTCATGAAATTAATTGGGGTAAAAACAAAGTTAAATTTCAACAGCTAAGTCAAAAGGTGTGGTGTATTGTATATAGATTGCTGGGAAAACCTGTTAAGGTATATATAAATACATCTGTGGAGGGGACAGTTCCACCACAAATCCTGTGCTTGAAGGGTTTGTCGTATTATTTTCAAACAGTATTGACAGGTCCTATTAAGTAATTAAGCCAACCATGACATATTGTCTACCGGGCTTTTATCAGTAGTCATCTATATAATATTATTTTGAGTTTCTGTATTATAAACTATACTGATCCTGTTTAACTTGCCTTACAAGTTTACAGTTGGCTGTATTTCTGTATTATAAGCTATACTGATCCTGTTGTACTTGCCTTACGGGTTAACAGCCAGCTGTATTTCTGTATTATAAGCTAAACTGATCCTGTTGTACTTGCCTTACAAGTTTACAGTTGACTGTATTTCTGTATTATAAACTATACTGATCCTGTTTAACTTGCCTTACAAACTTACAGTTGGCTGTATTTCTGTATTATAAGCTATACTGATCCTGTTTTACTTGCCTTACAGGTTTACAGCCAGCTGTATTTCTGTATTATAAGCTATACTGATCATGTTGTACTTGCCTTGCAAGTTTACAGTTGGCTGTATTTCTGTATTATAAGCTATACTGATCCTGTTATACTTGCCTTACAGGTTTACAGCCAGCTGTATTTCTGTATTATAAGCTAAACTGATCCTGTTGTACTTGCCTTACAATTTTACAGTTGGCTGTATTTCTGTATTATAAGCTCTACTGATCCTGTTTTACTTGCCTTACAGGTTTACAGACAGCTGCATTTCTGTATTATAAGCTATACTAATCCTGTTGTACTTGCCTTACAAGTTTACAGTTGGCTGTATTTCTGTATTATAAGCTGTACTGATCCTGTTGTACTTGCCTTGCAGGTTTACAGCCAGCTGTATTTCTGTATTATAAGCTAAACTGATCCTGTTGTACTTGCCTTACAAGTTTACAGTTGGCTGTACGTCTGTATTATAAGCTGTACTGATCCTGTTGTACTTGCCTTGCAGGTTTACAGCCAGCTGTATTTCTGTATTATAAACTATACTGATCCTGTTGTACTTGCATTACAAGTTTACAGTTGACTGTATTTCTGTATTATAAACTATACTGATCCTGTTGTACTTGCCTTACAAGTTTACAGTTGACTGTATTTCTGTATTATAAACTATACTGATCCTGTTTAACTTGCCTTACAAGTTTACAGTTGGCTGTATTTCTGTATTATAAACTATACTGATCCTGTTGTACTTGCATTACAAGTTTACAGTTGACTGTATTTCTGTATTATAAACTATACTGATCCTGTTATACTTGCTTTACAAGTTTACAGCCAGCTGTATTTCTGTATTATAAGCTAAACTGATCCTGTTGTACTTGCCTTACAATTTTACAGTTGGCTGTATTTCTGTATTATAAGCTCTACTGATCCTGTTTTACTTGCCTTACAGGTTTACAGCCATCTGTATTTCTGTATTATAATCTATACTGATCCTGTTGTACTTGCCTTACAAGTTTACAGTTGGCTGTACTTCTGTATTATAAGCTGTACTGATCCTGTTGTACTTGCCTTACAGGTTTACAGCCAGCTGTATTTCTGTATTATAAGCTATACTGATCCTGTTGTACTTCCCTTACAAGTTTACAGTTGGCTGTACTTCTGTATTATAAGCTGTACTTATCCTGTTGTACTTGCCTTACAGGTTTACAGCAAGCTGTATTTCTGTATTATAAGCTATACTGATCCTGTTGTACTTGCCTTACAAGTTTACAGTTGGCTGTATTTCTGTATTATAAGCTTTACTGATCCTGTTTTACTTGACTTACAGGTTTACAGCAAGCTGTATTTCTGTATTATAAGCTATACTGATCCTGTTGTACTTGCCTTACAAGTTTACAGTTGGCTGTATTTCTGTATTATAAGCTATACTGATCCTGTTTTACTTGCCTTACAGGTTTACAGCCAGCTGTATTTCTGTATTATAAGCTATACTGATCCTGTTGTACTTGCCTTACAAGTTTACAGTTGGCTGTATTTCTGTATTATAAGCTATACTGATCCTGTTTTACTTGCCTTACAGGTTTACAGCCAGCTGTATTTCTGTATTATAAGCTATACTGATCCTGTTGTACTTGCCTTACAAGTTTACAGTTGGCTGTATTTCTGTATTATAAGCTATACTGATCCTGTTTTACTTGCCTTACAGGTTTACAGCCAGCTGTATTTCTGTATTATAAGCTATACTGATCCTGTTGTACTTGCCTTACAAGTTTACAGTTGGCTGTATTTCTGTATTATAAGCTATACTGATCCTGTTTTACTTGCCTTACAGGTTTACAGCCAGCTGTATTTCTGTATTATAAGCTATACTGATCCTGTTGTACTTGCCTTACAAGTTTACAGTTGGCTGTATTTCTGTATTATAAGCTATACTGATCCTGTTTTACTTGCCTTACAGGTTTACAGCCAGCTGTATTTCTGTATTATAAGCTATACTGATCCTGTTGTACTTGCCTTACAAGTTTACAGTTGGCTGTATTTCTGTATTATAAGCTATACTGATCCTGTTGTACTTGCCTTACGGGTTAACAGCCAGCTGTATTTCTGTATTATAAGCTATACTGATCCTGTTTTACTTGCCTTACAGGTTTACAGTCAGCTGTATTTTGCCGGCCATGTGTTTTTCCTCGGCTGGCCACTCCTACATTTTATAGTGACATCTTTGTTTGTCAGCCGCAAATCTTCATCAAATGGACATTTGTCAGAAAAGTAAGTTCAATGTTTTATCATGTTCAAGAGAATTCCTCTAGTTCTAGCCATTGCCATTATCTCGATGTTTGTTTTTTTGCAGAATGTGGGTAGTTGGCTCTCTATTAACAATTCAAATATGTAATCAGTGTTTTCATTCATATAACAGTACATGTAAATTATTTGTCAGGACGTGGCATTGAAGGTGTTCTCACTTGTGTCAAGTCATTTTGCCGTATTTTGCAAATAAATTTGTAAAGGGTATGGTTACCCCTGCATCAGTGATAATTGTGAAGAAGAGCTCCACATCATAGCTGTGTTTTCTACTCGAATCATTCCCCTTTGTTTATAGAAGACGAGCAACGGAATGGAGTTTTTCTGGCTTTGAATTACTTCCCTTGTTAAGGTTTTTAGCTCCCTGGCCCTTTAAAGTTAGCTTATGCTGTGGCGCAACGTCCATCAACCATCCGTTGTCCGACGTCAATATTTTACTTTAAAGAACTTCTGCTTTATAACCAAAAGGCCAGAAGCAAACTGGGATGAAGGGCTACCAATTTGTTAAAATGAATGACCTTCACTCATATTCAAGGTCACAGGTCAATTGTCAAAAAAACACATTTTAACATCTTCTCCTGAATAACCAAAAGGAACAGGATGTTGATATATAGTCAATAGCATGCTGGGATGCAGGCTACCAAATTTGTTCAAATGAATGACCTTTACTCATATTCAAGGTCACAGGGGGTCAAATAACCGTGAGGCAGAGAATGTTAATTTTAGACCAGTAGCATGCTTGGATGAAGGGCTACCAAGTTTTTTCAAATTAATGATCTTGACTTATGTTTAAGTTCACAGGGGTCAAATATGTTTGAAACCTTTAAATGACTTCTTCTGAATAACCAAAAGGTGCAGGATGATAATGTTTGGCCCGTTACATGACGGGATGAAGGGCTACCAAGTTGGTTCAAATGAATGACCTTGACATTTATTCAAGGTCACAGGGATCAAATATGTTAAAATCTGTAAATGACTTTTTCTAAATAACCAAAAGGCCTATAATGTTGATTTCTGGCCAGTAGCATGCTGGGATAAAGGGCTACCAAGTTTGTTCAAGTGAATGACCTTGACTTACATTCAAGGTCACCGGGGTCAAATTTGATTCAAATCTTTAAACAACTTCTGAATAACCATTAGGCTCAGAATGTTGATATTTGGCCAGTAGCATGCTTGGATGAAGGGCTATAAAGTTATATCTTTTGAATGACCTTTACCCACTTCAAGGTCACATTTGGTCAGATATGTGTAAACATTTAAATGACCTTATCTCAATAAAGAAAAGGTCTAGGGTGGTGATATTTTGCAAGAGATAAAGGACTATAAAATTTGTTCAACGTAATGACCTTGTTCGACTTTCAAGGTAAATACCTGGTGAGCGATGAAGGCCCATTGGGCCTCTTGTTATCAATGTTGCTATTGTAAGTTATTCTAAGGTATCCATCCTCTGGCCATTCCTGAGTTTGTCTAGTGGAACCAACATTTTACTTTTAACCACTTCTTCTGTATAACCAATAGGGTCAGGTTTGTTAAAAACTTTAAATGTTCTCTTTGAATAACAAAAAGTCTTAGGGTGAGGATATAAAGAGCAGTAATTTTCTGTCAAGATTTCAATAATACATTTTGTTTCTTCTTTTTTCAGACAAAGTTCTTTGGTAGAAGGAAAGGCAAAGGAAGAATGATACCAATCGAAAGAAATATTGACAGAATGAAATTATTTTAAATATAGCTAACTTACATTTAATTATGGATGGGATGTTAAATTATAACTGTGAATGATATATTTTAAATTTAAACAATTTCCAATAATAGAGATGATTTACAGTCTTGATATGTGTACACTTGTCTGTCTATATTGGTGAGAGATATGTGTACACTTGTCTGTATATATTGGTGAGAGATTTGTGTACACTTGTCTGTCTATATTGGTGAGAGATTTGTGTACACTTGTCTGTTTATATTGGTTAGAGATATGTGTACACTTGTCTGTATATTGGTTAGAGATATGAGTACACTTGTCTGTAAATTGGTGAGAGAAATGTGTACACTTGTCTGTCTATATTGGTGAGAGTTGTGTACACTTGTCTATTTATATTGGTTAGAGATATGTGTACACTTGTCTGTATATTGGTTAGAGATATGAGTACACTTGTCTGTAAATTGGTGAGAGATATGTGTATACTTGTCTGACTATATTGGTGAGAGATTTGTGTATACTTGTCTGTCTATATTGGTGAGAGATTTGTGTACACTTGTCTGTCTATATTAGTGAGAGAAATGTGTACACTTGTCTGTCTATATTGGTGAGAGATTTGTGTACTCTTGTCTGTTTATATTGGTGAGAGATGTGTGTACACTTGTCTGTCTATATTGGTGAGAGATTTGTGTACACTTGTCTGTCTATACTAGTGAGAGATTTGTGTACACTTGTCTGTCTATATTGGTAAGAGATTTGTGTACACTTGTCTGTTTATATTGGTGAGAGATTTGTGTACACTTGTCTGTCTATACTGGTGAGATTTGTGTACACTTGTCTGTCTATATTGGTAAGAGATTTGTGTACTCTTGTCTGTTTATATTGGTGAGAGATGTGTGTACACTTGTCTGTCTGTATTGGTGAGAGATTTGTGTACACTTGTCTGTCTATACTGGTGAGCGATATGTGTACACTTGTCTGTCTATATTAGTGAGAGATTTGTGTACAATTGTCTGTCTATATTGGTGAGATTTGTGTACACTTGTCTGTCTATACTGGTGAGAGATATGTGTACACTTGTCTGTCTATATTAGTGAGAGATTTGTGTACACTTGTCTGTCTTTATTGGTGAGAGATTTGTGTATACTTGTCTGTCTATATTGGTGAGAGATATGTGTACACTTGTCTGTTTATATTGGTGAGAGATATGTGTACACTTGTCTGTATATTGGTGAGAATGGCTGGGTTTAAGTGGGATATTTTGTAGAATTTAGTACAATCATTCAGATGTAGTTTACAGGACCACCAGTTATGTAGTTGTCAGAAAACGTTTTTATTGAAATCTGAAAATTAAATAAAAGTCATTATATGGAATTCTTGTTTTCAAAACTCATTATCAAGAACATGTGACATTTGGTAAGTCATTATTAACTATTGAGTTTTACGTAAAGCTTGGCGATATCGATAAAACGAATAAAATCTCTCAACCACAGGGCAGACCTTGTTACTATATGTACTAAGTACTGTAGAAATACTAATCAATGTATGGATGTCTATCTGTGTGCCTTTCTCAGAAACCAACATAGACAACTTAACAAATTGAGTTTAAAGATTCATAATTAATACGTTTGGAGAAAAAAAAGTTGATTGATATCTACAGTACTGAAGAAATAATCACTCATAAGATAAATGTGTTTATGAATAAAAAATATGAATTAGCTTCAGGTGAATGAGGAAGTACTTCTTAGAAGCTGTTTTCGTTTCTTTTACAAGTAATTACACTTCTAAAAAGAGTTATTTGTTTGCTATATAAAGATGCCATTGACTATATATAGGTGCCTTCCACTTCTATAACATATGGGTGCAAAACTATTCGACTTTTTGTGAAGATACAAAATAATTGTATTTGATATCCGATCATTAATTTGATGAATCATTTGGTGTTTTTTTTTAGGAAATTAGGTTTTTGACATTGAATTTCCAACAGTAATATTTCTATCTGCTCAGTTTTCAATAAGGTTTAATAAGGGGTATTGAGTGGGGTAAACTGTTTTAGTTCTTAATAAGGTTTAATAGGGGGGTTTCCAGTAGGGTAAAGAAAAATCAGTTTTCAATAAGGTAAGGGGGTATCCAGTGGGGAAATTTTTCTTTCAGTTTTTAATAAGGTTAGGGAGTATCCAGTGTTTTTTCTTGCTATATGATAGATGTGGTATTTAGGAGGCACGGTAGTCTAGTGGTAGGATGCTGGGCCCATTACCGAAGGGTTGCGGGTTTGAGTCGCGGCACGGCACTGTGTTGTATCTCTGAGCAAGATACTTTACTCCGCTTGTTCCAGTCTACTCACCTGTAAATGAGTACGTGGTTTGGCAGTGCTAGAATTGTTGAATGATAGCTGTAAGCGCCGAAATGGCAGCACTGGCTGTATGTTCCCCAGGGAGTGGAGAAAGATGTTGGCTGGGTGCAAAGGACCTATAACCACGGATAATAATTTGTGAACCGCTTTGAGACGACCTACGAACCAGGTTGTGATAAAGCGGTATATAAGAACCTCAAATTATTATTATTACTATTATTATTTAAGGAGTTTTGTATCTGTAGCCTAGGGGGGTGTAGGTAACAATTCTCCTATGTGTTTCAGACATTTTTAACAGAACTTAATAATAAAGATGTGATACAGTGTTATTACTATGTAGGATTATGCTCATAAGGCCAAAAAATATATGTGTTTCCAGTTTCCTTTACCTTTGCCTCGACTTCGTTAGCTAAACAGTAAAGTAGGAAGTATAACATTACTGAAAATTCCAGATATTCCGGAACCTGTAGCAACTATCAGGTGTATTTTTGGAGATTGAAACAGCATATCTTTTTTGGCCAAACCACGGCTGAATAACAGAGCCTGAGAGGAAACATTTATGTCTTACCTTGAGCTTCTAGGACCACCTCTCTTTATCAAAATAATGTCAACTGTCACTAAGTAGTGCTAGCAAAGTGTAAACTTTTGTTATTTATCGATTATATACTTTATCATGAAACGTTGTTATCACACTTGCTATATATATGACTTGATTTAGTTGGGTCAAATATTGATTAATTCATTTATTTTATTTACCTCACATTATTTTATCAAAGGCGTCAAATGGCATTCTAATACAGGTATCAATTACATTGTAAGCTTCGATGAAACTGTGATTGGTGCAGGCAATAATATTGACATTTCATGAAATAAGATAGCTCTTTTAAATCTCGGAGATCCTATGAAGTTGGTCAAGTATATATGGAAACACTCAGTGTGGTCACTGTGCTTGTGTAGCTAGTTAAAGGGAGACAACTTGATAGTAATGCTGTGAAAGAATCCTTTCCTATTTCTCCCGATAAATTTTATTTCCTAAGAAGAAAAATGTTTGTATTTGCTATTTTATCATTGATGTAAAACTGTTTTTATTATATTTTTATCAGTGAAAGATGAAATCCTGCCCTGATCAACATATAACTGTTTCCTGATTTCCAAGATTCCTGACCATGGGACCTGATGAATGTCTGATTTATACAGAACTCCTCAATGTTCAGGGTTCACTGCAGATAATGTACTGTAGATTGTGGTATTAAACTATCACAGGGACAGAGCCGGGCTTCTGTAAGAAGGGGACCCTCATCAACCCAAATTTTATTCTTCATTTGCATTCCCCTATGTCACTCTGAAGAGATGGAAGGCTGACCTCTCAAAAGGTCCCTAGAAATGATAATTTTCAATAAAAACATTTGGGTAGGGGATCTGCTAGGGAGATCATGTGATAAGAGTTGGGCACTATACATAGTACAGTATACTGTAACGTTACTATAAGGTCAGTTGACGCAAGAATGTCAATTGAATACTTTTCTAAGTCTCTGGGTCATGAGTTTGAAACAGTCGAGATCCCCACACCATTATCATATATGCAATTACTGGGCATGAAAAGTCCATTAGATATGCTACCATGAATGACTTCGAGGTCCCCCCCCCCCCGCCTCGCCCCGCCCCGCCCCGCCCCTGGGAACTTAGTCTCTGTGTCATAACATGAAAAAGGTTGAGAGCCCCATCCCTTAACCCTGATTACAGTTGTTTGGGAGGAGGAGACCAACACAATTATTCTACCAGAATTGGCTTGAGAGGCTACATGTAAAACTACAGTGGAACTCTCTAGGGTTTTGCCAACAGTAGCACAGGAGTCCTTAAATCTTAATCCACTGAAATCGTCTATAAATATTTTTGGACACGCAAAGTCTTAATTTTTTTTTTATTCAAAACATCGACCTTTTAGGTTTTGTCAGAAACAACTAAAGCCTTTTGCTGAGGTCAACGCATTGATTTTTTGTGAAAAATGTATATTGACTGAGGATGAAGTTATGAGTGTATTTTCGGCTGTGTACTACTATGATGCTTCCAGCCGGTCAGGTTTACAGAAGGGTGGTGATGTCAGATCTTGTAGAAATACATGTGTGGAGTTGTTACAAGGCAACAGAGTAGATTTGTCAGTTTATGTATACTGATTACCTTTGCATGTTTGTGTTGGTAAAACGGTTTTTCAGCAAGTTGTACTGTGCAGTCAGCTACCCAGAGTTAATTTACAATACTTTCTAAGTAATTACATCGTAAAACCTTCTCCATACTGTCCGGTAAGTCGGACTTCCGTCGAGGTGTTTAATCCGATTGTATGCAATGAATTGATGTCACATTCCCAAGTATTTATGGTCTTAATGACATGTATGCATTCCAGCAAAACTTGGTCCGAAAGGTTGAGTCTGTCATAACCATAAGAACGCTGGATCTTTTAGATTTGTTTTAGATCTTTGATTTGTTTAATTGCTACTTTGATTTGAAGGTAAATTTGTTTGATTTTTCTGTTTGTAACTCCCTTTTTTTTGTCCGTGAAATTGATTAGTCCGGTCTTTTGTTTGTATGTTTGTTTGATTTGCATGGATTTTCGGTTTGTTTGATTGACATATTCATCCTGTGATTTCTTGCTATTTATGTGTATTTCTGTCCAACGTTTGAGATTTAAGTTAAGTGACGCTCCTAAATCATAAGGACAGGTCAGTGTCCAATTTCAGAAGTGATGGACAGTGTTGATAGTGAAGGTCAAACTCCTGTAACCTTGGAAACCACCTCAAACAGATACATACACATTGTATGAGTTGTTACACAAATTCATAGGTGTCAACCTTTGAAGCCTCCAATGAGGGAGAGAGTGCGTGAAATGTGACTGTAACTGCTTTGCTCAATTTATCTTTCCGATTTGTATGGATTAAAATAACTTTAACAGGCATTCATTTGATTCAGGCACGCCTGTTATGATCATTACACATACCCTGCAATAACTAGGAGATCATTTGACCACAGAATGTAGATTTTGAGTTTGTGTGAGTTTGGACATGAATGAGGGAGTTTCAAGGGATATTGGTAAATTTTTGTCACAATGAGGGAGTCTCCCTCCTAATGAGGGAGGTTTGATAGCTATGCAAATTAGCGCTTTGTCTGAGTGTGAAAGCTGTATTCAGTCTGCAATATAAATAATGTATTCAGTTTCTCTGATATATTATTTTATTAAATATAAAAACTCTGGACAGATGCAGAATTACTGCCTGCACAGTTGTCTAGAATCACCGCTCCTTTTGCACACTAAGGGACTAGTAGAAAATGTTGTAGGACTTCTGTCCATCCAGTAGTACTTCCCAATGTAGTGGTTTGGTTGTGTATTAACGGCTACGGTCATTTACGGACATGCCAGGTATTGGTGGTGGAAAAAGTTTGGTTTAGTTTTGCTCAACGTCTTATTAACAGCTAAGGTCATTTTAGGACATTGGTGGAAAAAACCAGATGACTTGGTGAAAAACCACAACCCAGTACTTTGGAGATAAAGAGCCAATTATGTTATGGTATAATGAGAGTTGACAGGTAAAATGAGAATTCAGCTGTTGCATTAACATTATTAGTGGGTTTTGTTTACATTTTATTGCATATCAAGTGTTTTTTTAAGAAAAGATTGTTCATAAATGTAATTGTTGTCACGGTAATAATATATACATATTGGTGTGGTTATAGAATTGGTCAGTTCTCGTTTGTTGATTACTTTGTAATCTAGAGTAACAATTGATATTTACCCCCTATAATTAAAGTTGTCTGTACGTGTTTTCGTCGGTTAAAACCCTTGTCTTATAAACTTTATACATATATGTTGATTATGACCAAACAATATGTAACACTCTCAGGTGAAGGTTAAAGGTCAAACCACTGTAAACATTGTCCATACTTCTAAATGGTTAATGTTATTCACAGGTATGTGAGTCGAGAACAGAAGGAACATATAGCACTCTCTGTACAGTGTAGTTATGTAACGGAACTGGACTGGGTCGATCGTCGGCGACCAGATAGCTCAATTGGTAGAGCATCTGTCTAGAGTTCGAAGGGTCCCAGGTTCGAACCGCGGTCTGGCCGTGCATTTGTCTTTTCCTGTTACATTTGGCGCCCAACGAAATATACCCACAGAAGGTGGTATAGGGTCTTTTGTGTCTTCGGGGTCGAAGACTTTGTTAAAGGAGGAAGGAATGTAGCGGAACTGGACTGGGTCGATCGTCTGCGACCAGAAAGCTCAATTGGTAGAGCATCCGTCTAGAGTTCGGAGGGTCCCGGGTTCGAACCCCGGTCTGGCCTAGCATTTTTCCTCTCCTGTTACAGTTATATAGGTGACAAGCAAACGTTGAAAGGACAATGTTGGACCAAGTTATGTGAAGTTTTAACTCACAGGTTCCTTAATATACAGTTACTGTTGACACCTATCCAACAGATAAATAATAAAAACATGTAATTATTATTTAATGTTAATTATATTAATGAAGATTGTATAGATGGTTGGCACCAAGATCCCTCAGTTATTAATGGTATGTATTTGTTTGTTACATGTTATTTCATGATCATTTCCCTGATTTCCAATGTTTGCCCCGAGTAATTACCCAAGCAAACTACTTCCTGTGTACCGTTGTAAACCTAGTAGGCAATCTTGCCGAAATAATGTTGTTATCAGACCCAGTAATTCAGGTTGTGTGCTAGTAAAAATTTATAATCCACTAAGGTTGCTTTTAGTTTTTGGAAAGTATGCTGGTTTGATTAAGAAATTTTAATGTATCGGGGTTAATAAATGCATAAAAGAATAACAGGCATTTTATTTAACTCATTGACCCCTGAAATTTCATAATGAACTATTCCAACCTTTGAGTTGGAAGAGTTCAAATGTGTTTTCAGGGGT